TATCCCAGGCCCTTGGGAAGGATTCGATAGGTGGATAAAAATGCCAAATCCAGTCTAAACATCTGGATGACCATGTGACCACCACCATCACCACCACCACCACCAATAATACATCTGCCTATCCCAGGTCCCTTGGGGACGACTTGATAGGTGGATAAAAATGCCAAATCCAGTCCAAATATCTGGCTGACTGTGTGACCAACAACAATAATAATGTATTAGACTTGTATACTGCCTGACTCGCAATGACTCTGGGCAGTTCACAACAATCAAACGAAGAAAACACAATAAAACATAAGAAAAAAAGAAAAAAAAAAAGATGGCAAGTGCTATGAAGCTCCTTTGGCTCCCCAGTGACTCAAGCCTGAAAGATAAGTTTGTGATTCCGACATAAAACTGGTGGAACATGTAACAAAATGTTTTGGCTTCACGATTCTCGTAACACTGTGAGTGTCCCATATACAGCATTATATTTTGAAATGGCCATTCTCACAAAGTTGTTGAATCTGATGAAATCCCACTGTTCTCTCAAGGATGAGACAGTCAACATATTTCACAAACTCACAAATCCTTGGCCATTTTAATTCTTGATTTGGTGGGGGAGGGACAGCCCCATCATGGAGACTGGGCAGTGGTGCCAAGAACAGGAAAAGACTGTTGATCTTTTTCCTAAAGCTACGGATAGCCGCCCTCTCGTGTGCCGATGGAGATTTCAAATTTCAGACTCTCCTGTCTTCACATCCAGCTCCATGGATTTGATCATGGGCCATCAAGTCAGGGTCGACTCTTAGGGACCACACAGATTTCCTGCAGCTTGGGATGGCTTGTTATTTACTATGGGAGGCAAGATACAGGCTAGAAGACTATCTGATTCTGCCTCCATCAGAAGCACAAGCATCATCAAGGACCACCCCGAATTTAATCAAATCTCCCTCTGGCAAAATGCTCCTATTGTCTCCCTCACAAAGCAGCTTCATCAAGAGATAACAACTCCTCTAAGAGAGATCATCACTGTCTGTGCTTTGCATAAAAGGAGAATGAATATACTCCATCCCGGGATTAAGGATGACAAATTAGCAGTTTTGCTATATTATACAGATAAAGAAGATTGTTCAGGGAGAAGAGAGAATGAAAAAAGAAAGGGGGGGGGGGAGAGATGACAATATATTACCTGATAACCTTGGGAATTGTTTTGAATTCCAAAAAGGGGCACACCTGGATCTACACAGGTTGTAACACTTGCATCTGAAAAGAAGAACAAACAAATGAAAGCACTTAATTCACAGTTGTTGTTTTTTTTAGGTCTGTGTGAAAGAACTCTGATTTGCCTCGCTGAGATACTTCATGCCACAAAGGCAAAGCCACCTCAGATTGTCTTCGGCGCTGCATGCAGAATCTTCCGGTTCTGGGGAACTGCCGTGTGAGTCCTCAGAAGGGAGTGAAGCAGAGCAAGTGGGCGGTTGAGCAGACACGATTTTGGAAGTAGCTCGCGCAAACCTTTGGAGAGGGAAAGAACCCAGCCAAAGGTTCACAGCCCATTATTTATCCCAAGCTGCAGATATCTGTCAGCATGACTGAGATTTGATGGTTTGGGGCCATATATATTGTTGTGGTCAAAACCTGGCTCACCTAAAGCAACCAAATCACTTTGAAGATACAACATATTTTGTTAGCATGCGTACAGTATATACTGGGCTCCCAGCAAAGCGTTGGCGCTTTGCTTAGCAGCCATGAACAGAAGCAGAACCAGAGCTTTGGCCTCCTACATTGCAAAGACATGTCAAAGAAGAAAGGCAGACACTGTGTAAATGACAGCATATGTTGGAATGGTTTAGATAAACCCATCTGGGTGACCCTGTTATTATTGATCCCTTCCTACTAGGTTGGCATGCTAACCATGCTATCTTTGAGATATGGGTGGTGAATTGAAACAATTAGGTTTACTGGGCCACAAGTGCCTGACTGAGTCTTTTTCCTGTCGCTACTTAGGGACAACTCATCTTGCTGTCAATGTTTTGTAAGAACTTTAAGCAGTTCCCATATATGGGGGGAGGGGCATCTCATAGGTTTGGTATTGAATAAAACTCACATGTGTATGTGGGGGTACACACTTAAGAATTGCACAGTGCTCTAGATTTGATTTGGAAGAGAAGAGGTGGACCAGAATGTGCAGAACGACAGATGTGGCAGCCTTTAGTAGCTGATTAAAGCAGCTACAACACAGAGATGCTGCCTGGAAAAATACAGAGCTGTTTTAATGAGTTTCAGAGAAATGCTTCATTCATTCACTCTGTGCATTCTGCAGCATTTCTTCCAAATTGAATCTGAAGCATTGCACAGTCCTAATGTAGCTTTAGCAGCAGGGCTTCAACCACTCTTAATACTATGCTTTTTAAACTGTAACTGAACTGGAGGAATATTCCTTTGAAGTTTTTTAAGTAGATCTGAATGTAGACTGAGTGATGGATCTCCTTCCTCCAAAAATTAAGGTCAGTTTCAATCAATCAATCAATCAATCAATCAATCAATCAATCAATCAATCAATCAATCAATCAATCAATCAATCAATCAATCAATCAATCAATCAATCAATCAATCAATCAATCAATCAATCAATCAATCAATCAATCAATCAATCAATCAATCAATCAATCAATCAATCAATCAATCAATCAATCAATCAATCAATCAATCAATCAATCAGTTTATGACAGCCCTAAGGCTAGATACAATAAAATAATAGTAGAACTCTTGCATACTTTTATATGTATAACAGAAAAACAGTAAGTATAATAGGATCTAAAAAAAATAATTCAGAACAGATGTAATAAAAACAGTATTATAAGAAGTTCCAAACTTAATTAATGGTGTGGCATATTGTTCAAATGGTAGCACAAAGCTGGGAGACTTGTGTGTAAGGTTGGTTTCTGAAGGATGTTTTCTAGTTTTAACTATAACAAACAGTTAACTCATCATTTTCATTCAGGGATGTGGAGTCACTAAGAGTCATGACCATTTTATGGTCTGCCTAAATAGCACAACATTTTATCTACAAATGTGTAATTGCTTGAAAATGTTCATAACTATTTATCTTTGCAGTGCACCGTAAAGCTTTATACACGTCTTTCTCTAACTGACATAATTCTAATATCAATTAGGAATTTTAATGCACTTCATCCTGCTTTCTTCTTCGATATGTACATGCCACCAATGCAGGCTTTTTAAAATGCAAATTTCTCTGATGTAAACTCTTAAAAAACAGAACTAAACTTTGGATCCAACTTTCTGTGTTGCAGCTTTCTTTCAAACACATCTTTTAGAAGATGTTGGTTTCCTGGAAGTGATAAATACTAAGACTCCTTTTTAATTCTGTCCTGCTGCAAAGGTCTGAGGGATACCCTAACTTGCTCTTAGTGGAACTGGTTAAGGAATTATTTCATATTCAGCAGGTGGTGACAACATCTGGCTTGGGAACTAAGTCAAATTGGGTCAGGTTAGTATTTGGATGGGAGCTTTCCAGAGAATATTAATACGTAGGCTACACTGAGAAGTTAGAAAACTTTCTGGAGGAAGGCAGTGGGAAATTACTTCCTTAACACTGCCAAGAAAACTGCCTGGCAGTGCCCATTTAGCCATTAGAAGCCAAACTTGGTTCAAAGGTGTTTTTATTGTCTTGTTCCCCAACAAAGTCCCATCTTGTTACCAATGCAGCTCGGCTGGGTTCCACTCCATGTTCCATCGGCCTGGCAGAACCTCCGAGCTGATCCCACCAGCACTAATGGGGGCAGACAGGAATAGGAGACAGAGGAGCGGTAAGTAAAACCCCGGTCTTCACGCTGCCCTTCTGCTGGGATTCCTGGATCGCCACAAAACACAGCTGCAAAAAGGGTGGTCAAAGGACTTCAATGAAGGACATTTCATTTGGATAAAACCTCCAACACCCACGCCTCCTTGCAACCTCCTATATATGAAGCACATATGATGGGGAGCCAAGATCCCCAACTCTTTGGAAATATAACATTCTGAATATGTTTTGGGTGTGCAATTGAAGGAGTAACCTGAACCAAGACCTCCAAACTACCAAGGCCCCTGAACTCAAATAAGCCTCCTTAATCTCTTGCTTAGGTGTTTGCAGAGGCTGGCTCATGAGTTATCTTAAATCAGCACTTGTATTGTCAAATGGGAACTAGGAAGTAACTAACTGCAAAAGCTGACTAGAGCCAATCTCCACTTTATTCTTCTTCTTATCTCACTATAAGCAGAAAATCTAACCCATGTTATGATTGCATTTGACATAATTACCGGTCAGCATTTATTATACGACTCTATAAAGGTTGTTTGTATCCTCCTTCACTGGGAGAACCTTGTGGTCTGTCCCCAGCACTCTTCAAATAAATTTGGCTCCAGTGGCTTGTGTGGTCTCTACTTGTAAATTGGGTCATGGGGAAGTTTTCTCCTTCACAAGGAAAATGATGATCACGACCTGTCGCAATGGGGGTGGCTCAACAAAATTCCAGTATATTGGAATGCAAACTGGGGAGTTTACATCTCAATTTCTTTTGTCTTTTTCTCAGCTCAGTGGATAGATGCCTAAAGGAAACAGCAAGCTAAAGTCAACAAGCACGGTGATTTTCTAAGACCTATGATGCCTGTATGGAATCCAAGGTCAATTTTGGAAATAAAGGTGATTCTGGAGACTTTGCAGCATGCCAGCTTGGATTTAAATTTTATTTAGAATAGTAAAAGTTAGAAAAGTAAAATGAAATCTGACTGGCACCTAGAAAAATATCCATGGCACTCTGGGACCTACATGTGTTGTGTTGGGGACCCCCAGTTTAGAGGACTTTTGTTTGTAACTTGGCTAGCAGAAGAGAGCTACCAGCTTCTTTCTGCACACTGTGTCACATTGTCAATGAATGTTTAATCTATTCCCACCTTCCTACTATCTCCTGGCAGACTGGCTGAGTGAGAACAGAAGGCAAGCTTCTATTTTCTTGCTTGCTTTTGCTTGAATTCAAAAACAGATCTTCAGTTGTGTAAAGGCAAAGCACCATGTGGCCTTGTATTAAACAGGAAAGCCTGTTTCTTCTGCAGCAGGCGGAAGGAGGTATGCCAGACAAAAACTGATGTTCTGCCAAATGTCTGGAGGGAAAAAAAGCATCTTAGCCCACCAGCACTGCCACAAAGATTTGTTTGCAGAGCATTCCACACAATGGCAGGCCAGGCTCCCTTCTGATAAAACTCTGAACTCAACAATTTTCTTTAATTGCACACCATTGCTTTTGGACTTCTCCTCCAAAAAGCATTGATGGCACCTTCAAATACTTCTTGGATGTTGAAGGCCAGATTTGCCAACAGAACTTAGCTCCTCTTCTGAGTTTGAAAAGGGCTCAGTCAATCTTCAAGCATTTCTGCCTGGTCCAAGAAGAGAGTGAGATATAGAAAAGGATACAGAGTGGCTCTGGAAGTGCTTTAGTTAAAGCTTGCCAGTGGACATCTTTAACAAGCAGAAGAGATGGAGGGATAGGTCACACATATTAGTGGAATGTGATACAATTGCCTTCCACAATAGCACTGAAGTTCTGATCTTGTGAGAGGATTGTGTAAAAACGGAATAAATACACCAGGAAAGTTTTCACCCAAGTGTTTCCCCCTGGCCCTCAGGGAGCAACTGACCCTTCTCATGACCCTTCTGGTTCATAGCAGCGTTCAGAAAAGCAGCAGGATGCCTAATTTTTGTTCGTTAACTGGTCTCTAGCTAAAATGGCAGACCAGCTGGTTTGATGGGTTCCCTCTAAGCATTTGGATCCTGGCTTTTGACCAGACAGATAACAAGAGTTTATGATGGGTATGCCTTTATAACTTAACAAACCCCAGCTACTCCGCATCTGATGTCATGCCTTGTCCAGCTGGAACTGTCTACTTACGAAAACACTGGGGGAGTTCTCCACTCCATGATCCATTTCCTTCACAGGTCAAAACAGCAGACAGGGAGAGCTGATAGCCTTCCAGACAGGCGTAACTCACACTTGAGCCCCAGCTGAAGTCTGAGCCCATGACTCTTCCATTGGGAATAATTTGTGGAGATTTGCAGATGATAGCTAGAGAGAAAAAGTCACACTGAACTGAATAAGAGACATGGAACTGAACAAGGTACCCAGAAGGTTAGAATTCATGTTCCAAGACGTCCATCATGGGCCTATGAGTGTGCTCTACATATTGATGGGGCTTGTTGTCATTGCTGCAATAGCTTCTTCAAAAGGCCAGACTTCACAAATGCTGCCCTGTTCTTCCAACTCGGGAAAAGGCATAAACAAATGCTGCCTGAATGCAGATGGTCATTTAATAAGGCCACAGCATGCAAATAACTGGATAGCAAATTCTAGCACCTAGCCATAAAGTAGGGGAAAACCTAAACATGCTTCCTTGGCCAATCCGAAATCCTGGGAAGAAGGACATTAATATTATGCACATCACTAGACAGGATGCTCTTACAGACCCTTTTCCATGTGCTTCCATGTGCAACTAAGACAAGTTATCTTGCAATAACTTTGTTAAATTTTAAAAACAGAAAGCTAAAACCTGATGAGAACTAATAATCAAGAAAAAGAGTAGAAAAAATAAAGAATAAAGAGAAAGAAGAACAGAAGTGCAGAAAGAGAAAGGAAAAAAAAAAGAATGGTTTCCGACTTCCTTTACAGCAGATATAAGTAAAACTTACATTAAACTCTTCCTCTAGGATTACAACTTAACATCTATTTTTCTATAATCTATTAATTTTACTAATCTTCAAATCCATATATCATAATTTCATTTTTTTCCTGTTTCCCACAAAAAGTCCAAAAGGGGCTTCCAATTAGCATTAACATTAGTCTGAGACAAAGACAAGTTATCTTGATATATGGCTTCTGAATCCATCTGTAATCCAAATTTCTTCAAAAAGCCGCAGGTTACTCTTTAAACCAGCCCTTCCTGGCCTTTCCATTGATCATGTGGATTCAGAATAATGGGAGTCATAAACAAAGACGGGCATAAAAGGCCTCCTAAAGATTCTTCATCAAACTTGTGGTTAGAGAAATGGATGGGCAGTTTTTTCCAGATTTCTCAATGAGAGGAAGAATTTTCCCAACAGTTTCTTAGGAAAAAAACTCTCCAACCCCTTGCCCTCAGCAGTGACAGACGTGCTGCTACATCGAAAGTCTGATGGATGAATTCTCTTGAGATGTTGGACAGAAGCACAGAAGAGCAATTACACTACAGTGAGAAAGAGAACACACATACACATCCCTTCTTTGCTTGATCACCTTTGCAGATTCCACCTATGAGACTTTTTCCAAGCTGTTCTTTCCAAGGCCAATTCTCTTTCATCAAACTGAATGAAAATTGGGGGTGAGGAAAAAGGAGAATTTCTCCATCTGGCTTTTGTGGCTTATCCTATCTGGAGAATACCTGGCCAAGAAGGGCTCCTCTAGACTATAGGTAAGTCCAACATGGTCTGATTAAATTGGCCTTACCTTTGCAGACAGGTTTTGTACCATTCCAGGTCCGGTCCTTAGTGCAAGTTAAAGTGGAGGCTCTTTCTGACTCCATCATGTAGCCTGGTGTGCACTGAAATGTGACATTCTTATTATAGGTGAAGTCATTGCCCACTCGGATGCCATTGGCTGGTACTCCAGGGTCCCCGCAGTTTATCACTTGGAAAAGCAGAAAGAAGAGGAGCTACAGATCTCAAAGGCAAAGTTGCAGAAATGGACCCGCAATAATCAAAACAATAGCTATTTGAAAAGCAACTACTTACAACAGCCCTCAAGTTCAACTCATCTTCTCCCTGTATTGCAGGGTGAGGCTTAGTGAGAGCAGGGAATAACTAGCCATCTTATTCCTAAATAGGGGGATGGATAAGTCTGTTATCCAGATTCCTTCCCAACTGGAAATGTTGCATTTGCTCCTTGCAAAATTCGGGGAGGGGCTTAATTCTTTCCACTGAGATTTACAGGAGTTAAAAATCACAGGAGTTCACTCAGTTCTGATCAGTGGGTGGCTCCTATCTCCTCCCTCCCCACAAAAAATCCAATTCTGGTTAAAAGGGGGAAAAGATAATCTTGTAAATGATAGACCTATTACCCCTCTCAACACAATCAGCAAGCTCTATGGAGGACATCTGCAATGGAATTTCCAGGACCGGCTGGAACAAGGAAACTTGCTCCCGGGAAGGCCGACCCATCATTGATCAGTGCCTTGTATTTGAGCACCTCATTGAAAAACACAACCTCTCTCTACGTTGCTTTCAGAGATGTCAAAGCAGTGTTTGATGCTATCTCCCAAGTTGAATTGTGGGAGAACTTGGAAGCCTCCTCGACCAACCAGTGTCTAGTTTATTTAACATCTATGCCACATGAAGGCATGTCACTCCAAGTAAGAGGTACCCCCCAGGGCCATCTCACCAGTGCTACTGAAGCCAAGAAAAGTGTTAAGCAAAGCTGCATATTAGCCACACTCCTTATTCAACTTGTATACTAGCTCCATAGTGGGCTATCTCCACAACGTGGACTTTCTCTCCCCAAAACTTGCTGGAAGACACATTGCTGTTCTATTCATGCAGATAATGCAGCAAAACATTCAAGAATGCCCGTTGGTCTTGAAAGAGCACTTAGCACAGTATTGCAAGGAACACCAGCTAGAACTCAGAGGTTTATCAGAAAACTAATGTCATGGAATTTGTCAAAAGGCTCAAGAACCATTCCTGGAACATTGACAGCCACAAGATTCAAATAATTAGGGGTAGTTCATCATTCTGCTGTCAGTCTGCTGTCAATTCTGGGAATTGAAGTCCATACATCTTAAAGTTGTCAAGGTTGAGAAACACTGCCTTAAGGCAAGAAGTGGCCATTATACGCCCATAGTTCTCAAATTATTTGAGGCCAAGCTGTTAGCACAGCTTCTCTATTGTGCCCAGCTGGGTCCCTTTTCCAGTTTCACACCACTAGAATTTGAGCAATCCAAATTTCTAAGAGAAGTCCTTCAAGGGTCCCTACTGACACTTTGCGACTAGCAATTGGCTTCATGAAAGTGGAGGCTAGAGCGTGGTTGGCCATACTCAACTATTGGCTCAGACTATCTTTCTTTTCTCCTTCTCCTTGTCCCACTAACCATGAGTGATGACTCCCAATCTGTGTGAAAACAAAGTAATGGAACTAAATCTCATCCTTGGGCCTCTTGCCAGATGTTCTACCCAGCATGGGTTATCATCAGGCCAAAGCATTTCTTAAACAGTGCGTAACAGATAGAAAGTTCCACTGTGACTTAACTAGAGCCCAAACTTTATTAATAGTGACTCCATCAGACATTTTGCCTCCCCCATGGCATACCTAACTAAGCTGGAGATCCCTAAGCACAGAAGGGCCTTCGCTCTGGCATGATATGACTTTCCCTCAGCTGTCCTTGAGGGTTGATGCAGGAAGACTCCCTTTTGGAGTGGCAATGCCCTTGTGACTCTAGATTCTTAGAAACAACAGAGCATGTATTGTGCCATAAGAAATAATGCTGAAGGGTTTCTCCACTCTTCCTCCCTGCCAGTCCTTGCTCTGACATTGCTTTCTTCTCGATAACTTCTGCATGGGAATTCATAGACCACAACTTGTACTAAAATCACTCAGAGGAGGCATCTTCAGAATAGTGACTCACAGAGAACTGCAGGATGGACAAGCAGTCTTTATACTTCTAGATCAAAAGCACTGTTTCTCAGGAATTCAGGACGTGCCAGTCTAGGAATGCTCATTGTTTACTTAATACCTTTGCATTCCACCACTGGTAACAAAACTAGGCAGCATTTTAAAAATACTAAGCAGCAATAACATTGTGGAGTCCTTGGTGTTCTCTGAGCTTGGTTGTTTTCCTGCAGACATTTTGTTACCCAACTAGGTAATGTCTAGTGCTACAAGAGAGTGGGGTAGTTCCTAGATTAGCCCGTTGACCCAAGGAAAAAAAACAACAGCCCCACCAACACTGACAGGGCGAGCTACTGTATATAAACAGAGAGCAAACCCCACCCCCTTCTAGCATTGAAGATGTTACCTAGCCAGGTAACGGAACGTCTGCAAGAAAACAACCAAACTCAGAGAACACCACAGTTCACCCCTGAGCTACATATATTCTCTTCTATTGGTAGCAATAACATTTTTTTTTTTAAAAAATGGCAATTAACAAGCAAGGATAAAGGTGTAGATGTAACAAATAAAAGAAGTAGTAAAGAAGCCGCTCAGTGGTTTTGGAGCACAGCGCAAATAAATAAATAAATAAATACTAATAATATTAATACTAATAAGAATAAACAGCAAGGCAGCATTTCAGCATTCCCTTGTAGGGTGCCCTGCAGCTCTCATTAACTCTTAGCTGTTGGTCCAAGCGCATCTAGAAAGCATTGGGTTGCGGAAATGAGCTTCTTCATTGCCAACATCTTCCTTTGACCAACTCACCTGTACATTCTGGGGTAGTCCCGGTCCAGGTCCCATTGACCGTACAATGCCTGCTGAGCACGCCTGTGGAATAATAGCCATCCCGACACTTGTATATGATGGAGCTGGAGAACACCAGGCCGTCGTTGAATATTACCCTTGCGTTGCTGGGTGTCCCGGGGTTTCCACAGGAGATCACTGCAACCCATGAGTAATGAATGAAGCCTCAGTCAAAAGAGTGCCACGGCAGCCTGGGCTGCAAAGCGTTTGCATTAACGTGCAGATATCAAGGCTGAGTTAGAGAAATCGGGTGGATCTGTACTCACTGTTGTGACTTGCAACAGTTATCCAAGATGTTGGGCAGAGAAAGATGACATCCTTAAGTCTACTTCCTTAACACTAAAGGCTGAAAATAGGACCCTAAGGCACAAAGCAAGGTCTCCACATCAAGTCACAGTGGGGGACACAGTGGAGATGAAGTGCTCTCCAACCATCCTTGAGCTGAGAGAAAATTCTACCAGCATGACATTCCCTGTGCCCACTGCCAATCCTCTTCTCCCTGCATAGCCTTTGTTTCAAGTCACTGCAGTCCCCTAACTTCCCTTCAAGGTAATGGGTTTATTGCCCTTGAACACTGTCAGAATTAAGGCGTGTGTTTGTGGGTGGGGGAAAGAAGACGACTTTAACTCTGGTACAACTAAAGGTGACTTAACTCTGACTCAAGTGAAGGCAACTTCATGAAGGACATTGCAGGGAAGAAAAAAAAAAGGTTGCTAGGACAGTTCTGTACCATGGCAAGTGGAGAAAGGTCCCATCGTGTATCTCCTTTTACCACTGACTTAGCTAACCCAACGTTGCATATTCCGAACTAGGGTTGTGTAAATCTTTTGAAAGAGTTATTCACAACATGCAAGAGCACTCACAAAGCACTTTTTCCCAAATAGTGAAGGTGGCCAGCATGGCCAATGATGAGGGATTCAGGGCATTATAGACCAATATTTCTGGAGGGCAGCACCATCCCTGGGATGAGGTGGCTGTTTTCAAAGGTTCCTGGGGTTTCCTTCTGTATATTTGCACCCTCACGTGTTGGGACTGGAAGTCCCGTAATGGGTAAGAATTCTGATTCCAGGATAACTGGAGGGTGCCGTGATGGAGAAGACTGAAAATCAACCCTGAATTATGAGGGTTGAACACATTTCTCGGGCTACAATCCTAAATACACTTATTGGGAAGCAAACTCATCATTTGGAGTGTGATGGGCATCTGAAGGGGGTTGAGCGATGGGACACGTTTAAAGTATCCAACTGTTTGGTTGAATGTGCACTTGAATGCATCCTGGAAAATAAACACATCAAATTCCAGGTTTTCTCATATATTTCATATCTCATATTGTGTTCTGTGTACTCTTCAACTGTTTCCTCTTCCCTTGAGTATGCTATAAAACGTTGTTAAATATTTGTATAAAAAATACAAGTTAGTATTTTGCATTGATGTGATTGTCTTCCATAAACTTAACACAGCTCTCTACGTTTTGCATCAGGATTCGATTCTGCAATATAGTCATCAGAGTTTTGGTGTGATCCCTTTCTATAAAGTCAGCATTCTCCTCCACAGAGGAAATGCAGGTCATCCCAATATCCTGATTTTACTGCCACAATGTGCAAATTTAAAACTCTCCCCCCTAGGAAAAAAAGAATTGCACAACATCTCCAGAACAGGTGGCTTTTCAAAGCCCCCCGGATCTGAAACAGATAACACCTTATGAAAGGAGCTGAGCATAATTTGCTGATATCTCCTCAATTAAATACTTGTTTTAAAAAGGCTGTTTGCCTTGGAGACTCATCTGCCTAAGATCCAACCTGTCATTCTGATCCCTCTTCTGAATTAATGGCCTGATGCTCCCTGCTGCATTTTCTCTGCCATTCAGTCAGTGGCCTGACAGTCCTCTCTATTAAGAGATTACAGTGTTTTTGGTGAAATCCAGCTTTGGAACGAGATGCAGTGGGATACCCCCAGTGTCTTTTCAAGTCTTTGCTTGTGAGGTGGCAATTCCACACCATTTTAACAGTCACTCACCGTTCGCTTGGAAGACAAAAGGGAAATGGTGGGGTGATGGTATGAATGAGGACAACATGCAAGGAATGGAATGGAATGGCCGTCCAGGACATAGGACCAACCTGCTGAAACAGAACACGGGGCATTTATTTAACAAACAAGGAAAGGTTCTGCCTGTCTTGGTATAGCCCTTCCGTGTCCCATTCAAGCGGTTTAGTTTTAAGCAAAAACTTATTTGCAAATGCAGTCAGAGGTGAGGAAGCATCGTGGCAAGCTGGCCGTGAAGAGGGAAGCACCATCTCTCGTAAACTATTTTTGCAAACTCTCAGGACATGCCTTTGTTCCTCGTCCCAGCCCTGTTTGGTGCCAGGAGGACGATGGAAAAAGCTTTCGCCTGGTTTCTGTTTGTGGGTTTGCTTGTTTTATGTTTTAATGCCAATTTCCATTCCAAATCTCACTGGAAATTAAAGCTAAACGAAGCCTGACTCTTCAGTCTGGTTAGGGGATCCTGGTTACAAGGCCGCTTATGTCGCATAAAATGGGACTGCTAACGCAGCAGAGCGCTAATGAAATGCGATTAATTAGCTTGCTTCATTCCGAACCATTTGTGGCCTTTGAAATATTGATTGGGGCTCTTTGAAAAATATTTTTTTTTCCCTCTGAATGTTTATGATTATAGGGTGGAGGGGAAAAAAAAGACTGAAAATTAACACTCCCTCTGGAGAATAAACACGGCTGCTTTGGCTGCCAAATGATCTAGGAGGGGCCGAAGCATATGCTTGCCGCGTCTCATTCTCAGAGGCACAGGAGGGCAACAGAAATGTGTGGACAGCTGGGGATTACACTGGGGAAACAGCATTCCTCTGAGTCCACCTAAAGCAGTGTTTCTCAACCTCAGCAACTTTAAGATGAGTGGACTTCAACTCGTAGAATTCCCCAGCCAGTTGCTGAGGTTGAGAAACACTGACCTAAAGGCTACACCTTGTACAACAATCCACAAGTCCCTCTGAAGCAGAGGGCTTAATCTCTAACTAAGCCTGAGAATTGAAACTCCAAGCAAGACACTTGAATCCCCAATAGTCAACCCAGGTAGCTTCTCCATATGTACCTTGTTTTTCAGGGTTCCTGTCTTCCTATGTTAGCTTTCCTTTCAGGGTAATTTGGTTTTGCTGCTGCTGTTTTGCTGTAATTTCAGTTTTAATCATTCTGGCTCCCCCCCCCCCCTCCATCTAAGCTAATTTCCCCCCCCCCCCCTCC